AGCAATGCAAATGGGAAAAGTTGAAGGAGAATGTCTGCCCAGTCTCACTGTGACATGGAACAAGTCCCTCTTAATATTATTTTTATCTCCTGTAGCTTCTAGGATTAGATTCTCTGGATTTCACTGAAGGGACTGTTGGAGACATCAGGGGTGGATTAAGGCCAACTGGGACCCTAAGCACAGCCCAGCAAAATTCTCCTTTCGTCCATCCATTGCTTAACTGACAAAACCTTAAGATTCAATAAGTACTGAAAGGGAAATAATAGATTAAAAACTCAGTTATCTTCCAGGCCATCCCCCATCTGGACCGCACATTATTTTAAAATTATTATTATCTAACACAAAAGAACAGTAAGCAATATAAGCAAAGTATTTACTTATATCTAGGGCAATAGAAAAATGAAAATGTTCAAGATTTTTTCCACATTTTTAATAAAATTAGTATCAGGAAAAAAAATGTAATTTAATTGCAGTATTCAAAACTAAAGCCAAGTGTGACAATGGAAGAGATAAGGGCATGCTAGGGGAAAAAACTGTGGTGCCCCTCTTCCCTTGGTGCTCCAAGCATGTCTTTATTTTGAATAATGGTTAATACAGGGTAGGGAGGCACCCCACTTTTCTTCAAAGTGGGGTCTCTTCTGGGACTTCTAAAGCTGAAGGATAGAATTCTGGATTAAAAAGGGAACTAATCCCTGCAAACAATTTTTCAAAAACTTCTTTGCATGACCATAGTGTTGAGCAAACTTTGAGCCAGATTGGGATACAGTTGAAAAGGGAGGAGGAGCAAATGTTGTAATAGATGTCTGAAGTTCAAATTTTCCTTCCTTAAATGAGTATGTCTTTTGGTAGAAGACTATTCAGCCAATATTTATTTGTTTCTTTGAAGCATTATCTCATTTTTCAATCCAAAAATCCCACAGAGCACCTGACAAAACAATTCTGTCTCTGTATGTGTATGTTTGTGTGCATTACACACATTCAGACTTTAAAGAGTTTCTGCTCCCAAGCACTAGTATATTAATTTCCTTATAAGTTTCATAATTTTCTTTCTCGTCTTTCCTCCAGGTGATCAAGGAACTACTTATAGTACCCCTTCCTCCAATTCTTCACTAACAACACAATCCTATCAAAGTAGTGAGAATCTGGATGGTCTAAATTCTCCCAGTGCAATTCCATGGCTAAAGATGGATTTGGCAAACTCTCCTGAATTCTAGGTAACCATTTTAACCAATACAACAAGGAAAAGGATTGGGATGGGAAAAGGGGAAAAAACAGGAAGTTTCTGGCTGGTTCTTTAGTAAGTGGCAGATTGAAATATATGAAGAATGTTCTGATTGGACATAGACATTCTTCAATCATGTAGTCCTCTTTTAATTGATGTCACATTTGTCTTATATTTTTTACTTTCTCTGCCCAGCATGTATCAAGGGATAGCTTCACTGTTTTATCTAATGGTGTATCTCACCTCTGATTCCTCGCAGATGTGGCATTTATCTTGATCATAACTTAAATATGGATAATGAAACCACACTGACTTACTTTCTGCTCCTGGAATTCTCAAAAGATAGACATCTGCAGCTTCTACATTTCTTCTTATTCTTCATATTATACCTGGCAACTGCAACAACAAATCTGTTCATCATCTCTGTAGTAGCTTTGGACCGTCGACTGCACAACCCAATGTACTTCTTTCTAGTGAATTTGGCAGTGCAGGATGTGGGAATTGTTTCAATCATTGTCCCCAAATCCATGATAAATTCTCTCATGGATACCAGACACATCTCTTACTTTAGTTGCCTTGCACAAGTCTTTATCTTTGCCTGTTTTGAAGCTTCTGATTTGTTCATCCTGACAGTCATGGCATATGATCGATATGTTGCCATTTGCAATCCATTGCACTATGAGATGGTGATGAATTGGAAAGCCTGCACCAAAATGGTGATTCTGGTGTGGCTTACAAGTCTTCTCTATGGAATGTTGCATACCATTGTCACCTTTTCCATCCCTTTCTGTTCTAATGTTATCAACCAGTTTTTCTGTGAAATTCCACAATTGCTAAGGCTATCCTGCTCTGGATTCAGTGAAACTGAAGTGGGATTTCTTGTGGTCAGTGTCATAGCAGGAGTGGGTTGCTTTATTTTTATCATCGTCTCTTACACCATGATTTTCAAGGCAGTGTTGAGAATTCCTTCTGTGAAAGGAAGGCAGAAGACCTTCTCCACTTGTCTTCCCCACCTGATAGTCTTTTCTGTGTTTTTCGTAACAGTATGCTCGGCCTATCTGAGACCCCCCTCTAGCACTCCAAGTTACTTTGATTTCACATTAACTGCCCTATATTGTTTACTTCCACCCCTGTTCAATCCAATCATCTACAGCATAAGAAATAAGAATATCAAATCTGTCCTGTCTAAATTACGGAGATTCTGATATTTTCTTTTGATGATGTTTTCTATCCTGTTTTTCCTCACATTGCACTTTCTGTATTTCTTGCCTTATTTTTTCTGAGGAAATAAAAGAAGATAGAAGAGATAGAAGCAGAGCCTTGCCACTCTGGACCAATGGCAGCACTTGAGAAGGTCCTGACCTACAATCCTGTATCCTTAGTTACTGATCTTGTTTTTTAAGATATTAGGAGCTGGTTTGGCAGCATGCTGGCTACCATATTTTGACAAATGCTGTTCCAGACTTCAGTTGATCTGGTGTCAGAATCCAATAAGATGAATGAGCCCAGAAATCTAAAAATCTTTCTAATTGGTCTGGGAGAAGTTAATGAGAGCTCCTGTTTCTGCTTAATGGATTTTTTTTTTTTTTATCTGCGTTCAGTCATTACCGAC